ACCTCCCTGGTGTCATGTGACTTATTAGTGTTACTGTTAATGTTAGTGTTAAGGTCTCGGTTGTGAATGGGGAGCAGGTGTGTTAAATTTGGTGTCATCGCTCTCACACTCCCTCATACTGGTCACTGGAAGTTCAACATTAACTGACAATTCTGGTATAGTAAACACAAGCACCACTGCAAAGCAAAGTAATCCTGGGACTGAAGTCATGAAGTTATGATCATAAACTGGTAAAGAAATTACAATTTCTTGTCGTAAAAGATACTTGATGTTCAGCTGGAATGTATTGAGATTTAAATCTCTGCTGGGCCTGTAATTATAATAATTATTCCAGCCACCCATTTTCCATACCACTTATCCTACTCAGAGGCAGGATTCAAACCACCAACCCCAGAGGTACGAAGCAAACATACTAACCACTAAGCCCCATGCTAAATAATAATAATACTAAATAATAATAGTACTGTGGTCTAGAAGTCACATATTTATTGTTAGTTAATTTCTTATTATAGAATGTCACATTGGTTTTACATTTTTTAAAGAAATTGTTTCAGCGAGGGCATGGTCAAGTGCCGGATATGAATGATAGGAGGAGTCAAAGAGAATGAGCTCGTAGTGATTGAGTGGTAACACCTGTGTGTATTTCTAAAGATGTGTATGTATATGCTGTTTGTGTTGTGTATTGACCCGTGAGATAAAGTTTATAGTGAGCATAACCATATAGTGAGAACAACAAATGTTACGCTTTAGAGAAGGCAATGTTATTGCCTTCTCTAAAGCCTTCTCTGGTGTTCTCATCCCCATCACTGCCCCTCACTTACAACTGTGACAAGATAAAGTTTAACTGTAGAGGGTTAAGGGCCTTGCTCAAGGAGCCACCAGTAGCAGCTTAGTGCTTCTGAACTCAAAACTTTAATCACCGAGCCAGGTTTTGAACAAATCCCACTCAATCTATTTTTAAAATCTAAATGTCCACAAGGTACAGAATTTCACATAATTAACCAGCACTAACCACTTTAATAGAAAAGAGCTCACAAAGAAGACAAGGTAAAAATGGCTAAATATTTTGGCATGGTGTACTACATCTGTGGTAATTTTCAACTGAAAGCCATGTTTGGATTCAGACACAGTGAAGTAACTATTTGAGTGTTTTTGATATTATCACACTGGAAGAAGCCATTCAAAAAAAAAAAAAGCCATTTGTGTCCAGATTTGGTGAACCTCAGATTTCTGTACTTGGCTGACAGGAGTGGTCTTCTGCTTATAAAGCCCAGCTACCTCAAGGTTCGGCATGTTGTATATTCTAAGATGCTTTCCTGCTCACCACATTTGTAAAGAGTGGATATTTGCATTACTGGCACTTTCCTTTCAGCTCAAACCAATCTGACCATTCTCTTCTGACCTCTCTTCAACAAAGCATTGTCAACCACAGAACTGCTGCTCACTGGATGTTTTTTCTTTATTCTTTTACCATTTTGTGTACGTTCTAGAGACCCAGAAGATTAACAGTTTCTGAAATACTCCAACCAGCCCCTCTGGCAGGAACAATCATGTCACAGTCACTGAGATCATATGTTCTTCTTGGTTCTGATGTTTGATGTGCACATTAACTGATGCTCTTGATCTGCATCTGCATTCTTTTTTGACTTGTTACTGCTGCCTCAAGATAGGCTGATTGAATAAATGCGTGAATGAGCAGGTGTACAGTTGCTCGTAATAAGGTGGCCAATGTATACTGTATGTATCTGGAAAACTGGAATAATATCTCAGTAAATGGGATTCAGTCTAACATAGAATTTCTTTCTGTTGTCCTATTCAAAGCAAATCTAAGGTTAGCTGGCTGTGAACAGACAAAACTGTCATTCAAACGAGAATCTGTGCTCTCCTCTAAATATATACACTGGACTCCACATATAAATAAGTGTTCCACATAGTTATTGTGCCTAGGGAAATGATCCACAGACGCTTCTTAGAGAACTGAAATTATTTCATGATGGACGTGGAACCTAGGATCAAACATTTCATACAATACACATAAGCAGCTAAGGAGGCTAAGCAGCTTTGCTCAGGATCAGTCTTCATTGCTTTAACACCTTTGGTTTTTGCTGTATTTAATTTTGTGTGTCCGATGAGATTGCTCTTTCGAGATATATTTGAATACTGTGAGCGCAGAGGAGAAACGAACTGCAGCCCACAAAAGTGGTAGTAAAACACAGAGCACTAAAGAGGGAGGGGAAGAGCAGAAAACCGAGGAGATGATATTAGAAATAAAGTGAGACACATCCATGACTGCATGAGACAGTGAGAGAATGTAATGGTGTTTGTATGTGTTAGGTATTAAAAATGTCCTGTGTGTATGACTATAAACTTCAATGATAAAGAGGTGACAGAATGAAAAGGAAGCACAGAAGCGCGTGAGAGAGAGAGAGAGAGAGAGAGAGAGAGAGCATATATCAGGAGGCAGGAACATCAGTAATGGGCTGTCTTTCCTCAGAGGGAGCTGTCGACACACACAGCGGTACTGAAATTGGAACACTGCGGCACAGAGAGAGAGAAAGAGATCTGGGACGAAGAAAAGACAAAAAGAGAAGAAATCTATATTAAAATATCCTGTTGGACATTTCCCTTTCATTTTATTCTCTGGAATTCCCACATTTATTTATTACCTTTTGCACTTTTGCCTGAAAAAAGTTTTCAGCTTTCGGCTCACTTTTGTGCTTTCTCCCCTTCACTTCTTGCCTCGGCATCAAGAAACAAATAGAGAAATTTTTGTCTTTTTTGTCTTTTCACCAGAGATACACTGGAAGATTGACTCTGGTACAGCATAACTCTTCTCTTTCTTCTTTTTCACACTTTTTTCTAATTCTTTTTCTCCAGTTTAGACTTTTTTCCTCTCTGTTATTTTTCTTCCAGTATTTCTTGATCTTTTTATATTCACACCCCTGACTGCCATTGTGTTTCCCTGTGCCCTGACTTTGCTGATTAGGTCATTGCTACCCTTCACTTTTGGACTAAATTAATCTTCTATTGCACTGCTCCTGGCCCTAGCCTTGACTTTTGACCCTTGTTGACCCTGTATGTAGGTGAAGATGTCGGCCTGTGCTAAGCATTGTAAACATGGACTGGTGAAGTTTGCTGTATCCGTACATAAACTGGTGACGGGGACGCTCAACAAAGGTAGGAAGAAGCACATACACACAAACACACACACACACACACACACACACACACACACACACACACAACACACTGTTAGGGATGTGTTAATGTAACAATGGAGCTGAACTGTCAAAAAGAATGATGACATGACTAGTGCCTAGAGTCCGAGGAGTTCAAGGCATTACGTTTTGCACGCAAAGATGTACACATCTTTACACATAATTATATCATCACCTATACTGTAGTATAATGCATTTAACATGTAATATAGTTTCTGTATTTGTATAGTTATTTGTATATTGTATTGTGCTGTATTTGTAAAATTATATAAAGCTCATGTAGGTGATTATTTACACATATTTATAAAATTATTTAAATATATATATATATATATATATATATATATATATATATATATATATATATATATATATTTTTTTTTTTATATATATATATATATTTACTGTAATATTTCATAGAGATAATTTATTATTATTGTTTACCATTGTTAAACATGACATATTTCGCTCTATTTAGTTGTGTATTATAGTTATCAAATTTATATAATGATGTTATTTGATAATATTACATGTATACTCTACAAAGATAATGACACAATTATATTTACATTTATCATCTAGCAGACACTTTTATCCAAAGCGACTTACAAATGAGGAAATATATATATATATATATATATATATATATATTATATATTCTGTAGCTGTGTAACTGCAGATTAACTGCAGTTTCTGGCCAGACCACTAATAGTTGTGTTCAAAACAGATTGTACCTTTATGCATTGAGTAGGTCTGTACCTTCTATGTTGTGGCAGATGTATGGAATGGGCCAGCACATGGTTCAGCCTGATAAAGCACTGTGTTTCAAATCACATTCAGTTCAACCACTTGTGAGAACTTCATTGGGCAGCACAAAGCTCAGATGTACCCAGATAAACATGTTTGGAACAAACTATATTGCAGAAGTAAGAGCTTTTGTAAAAGGAGGACTTGAATCTGTGAATGTATTGCATTATAGGAGTAGTGGTTGTCGACTATCCCATGTTCCTCTTGTTAGACTAAAGGACAAATGTAATTTGCCTTAGAAAGTCGTCGTAAACCCCCCCTCCTCCCCTCTCTCTCTCTGTGTGTGTGTGTGTGTGTGTGTGTGTGTGTGAGGCATAATCTGATGTACTCAGATGCAGATGCTACAATCTCTGTTCCCTTAGGAGACATGAGACTAAACAGAACCACAGTTTTGTATGTATTTTTGTGTGTGTGTGTGTGTGTGGATACACACACATGTGCTATCATCAAGTAAGCATTGATTGCTTTAGTAATTTTAGAGTTATAAGTGGCACTGTAAAAGGAATAAGAATATAGGGTCAATTCCAGGGACCACTAGAATAATAACTCCCTGGGGTTGGGTGTTAACCTGCACCATTACTACGGGCACCCCTGACACATGACTACATGTATGCATGCAGACACAGCAGCTATGGAAGTATGGATAGCTTTTGTACATCTGCAGGATTAAAAATGCTGTCCACTAGAGGGACATGTCATCAATGAAACTGGCAGAGCTTCTTCAACCACATCCAATGATTTTGCACAACAAGGTCAATCGAAAAGCATTTGGAGCTGTGGAGACTCTGATAATGTATATGGTGACAAAGTGTTTGGTCATTAAACCAATCTCATAATGACAAAGGAAACATATGAACAATCAATCAAAACATACAGAGAAAAAAATATACAACACTCCTTTCTCATACTCAATAATATTATATTTACTTCAATAATAAAAATAATAAAATAAAACATTTTTTTTCCAAAAAAAGGGTGCATGGTGGCATAGTGGTTAGCATGCTCGCCTCACACCTCCAGGGTTGGGGGTTCGATTCCCACCGTGGACCTGTGGAGTTTGCATGTTCACCCCGTGCTATGTAAGTTTCCTCCGGGTACTCCGGTTTCCTCCCCCATTCCAAAGACATGCATGGTAGGTTGATTGGCATGTCCAAAGTGTCCATAGTGTATGAATGGGTGTGTGATTGTGCCCTGTGATGGATTGGCACCCTGTTCAGGGTGTACCCTGCTTTGTGCCCGATGCTCCCTGGGATAGGCTCCAGGTTCCCTGTGACCCTGAAAAGGATAAAAGGTATAGAAGATGGATGAATGATTTAAGTCATACAACTGTGGTGTAGTTTGTTTATAACATACTCATTCCCTTCTCAGGGAACAGGGTTACATGAGTAACCCAGACGTTCCCTTTCAAAGGGAACGTCGACATTGCGTTTAGTATAACACTCCGTCATACCAAGGGTACGGGCTGTTCAAAAAGACCCAAGCCAGAGGGTCACTGCAAGACACTCAAGCCCAGGGTGGAATGAATAGCCAGGCTGTAATAACGAATGAATGTGTGTGGCGTAGACCACCCTGCAGCAGCACACATCCTGTAAGGATACCCCTTTGGAAAATGCCTTCACAGAGGCGACTGCCCTAGTGGAATGAGCCCTTTTGCCCAGAGGCGTATCGAGACCGCGCACCTCATAAGCAATAGAGATTGCTTCCACTATCCAATGGAGGTGCACTGATTTGACACAGCATCACCTCTACTGTCACCGCCAAAGCAGACCAGCAGCTGCTCCAAATTATGCGGTGGACATAAGTATAGAGAGCCCTTACTGGACACAGCAGGTGCATTCTCTCTTGTTCCGGTGTGGGGAATGGAGGAGGACAGAAAGCCTGCAACACCACAGGGTGAGCAGCCGATGTAGGAACCTTTGGAATATTATCAGGCATAGGATACAGGAAGGCCTTGGCAAATCCAGGGGTAAAGTCAAGGTAGGAAGGGGCAACAGAGAGAGCTTATAGATCTCCTACTTGCTTGAGTGTCAGGGCCAGCAGAAGAGCTACCTTCAGAGTCAGAATCTTCTCAGAGGCTGACTCTAAGGGCTCAAATTTATGCACATATGAATACTTATGAAAGTATGCACGGCCTGCAGATGGGCCTCAGCCATCTGACACCATGCATAAACCTCAACGTTAGAGGATGTTGCCCCACAGAGCTCCATCAACAGAGGTGTGGCTGGCCTAAATGGCGGCCACGTAAACCCTAATTGTAGAAGGAGCCCACCCTGCTTTACTGTAGCTATTACTACAGCTAGGACTACAGATAATAGCTAATTTACTGTAGCTAGGACTGTAGCTATTGCACAGTTCACCGGGTCTACAGTGGATCCGTATGGGAATCTCCCAAAGAGTGCCATCTAGCAGTTCTAGAACTTGTGGGAGCAGAGCGATGGGGGGGAAAGTGTACAGATGTGACCTCGGCCACATGTGCACCATGGTGTCCAGCCCTAATTGTGCGGGAGGAGTGAGGGTGAACCACAGCGGGCTGTGTGTTGTCTCCTTGGAGGCGAACACATGCAGTCCCGCTTGGCCAAACCTCACCATATGGACTCCACCACTTGTGGATAGAGCCACCATTTCCCCTGCCTCAACAGGATGTTTGCCCCATATTCCCAGAATGTACATTACACTCACTGAAAAACTTTCCTTCTGCCCAGAGAAGAATTAGTTGCGCCTGCCTGAACAGGGGGCATAGACATAATCCTCCCTGGTGGTCAATATATGAGAACACGATGTTTGAGTGTTGTCTGTGAAACACATGGTGACCTCTCAATTGAGGAAGAAGGAATTTCAGTGCAAGAAATATGGCCCACATTTCTGTGCAATTTATATGCTGCTCCAGATGAGGGCCGCACCAGAGACCGTGAGCTGGACAGCTGTCAAAGGCCGCGCTCCAGCCGGTGAGGGAGGTGTCTGTCATTACGGTCTTGCTCTAAGGAGACACCTCTAGAGTATGACCCAAGGCTAAAAATCGGGGACACTCAAATTCTCAGAGCACGTAGGCATTGCCGCGTGCCACTGATTATTCCCAGAGCTTTCGTCCAAAGATGAAACTTCTCAGCCACCAATGAACGGTCTCCTGTCAAATAGGCCCATAAGCGCCAATAGTCTCCCAAGATCCAGCTTTATATTGCTCAGTGTTGATAGCATTGACCCCAAGCATGTTGGGGATAGAAAAGCCCTCATTGTAGTAGAATCCTTATAACCCCTAGAAAAGTTGTCCACTCCACTGAGGAAAACATAATTTTCTGAGGTTCAACCTGAGCCCCAAGCCCTTCATGTGGGCGAGAACAACATCTCGATGTTGAACTGCCAGTTCCCTGGACCATGCTAGAATGAAGTAGTTTAGTACATGGATGCCCTGGAGTCACAATGGAGCCAGAATGACATCCATGCATTTTGTGAAGGTGCAAGGGGTTAAAGCTAGCGATATTTCTATGCGGAAATATGCACCTTTTATATCTATCGTCACAAACCAGTCCTAAAACAGAGTCTGTGGAACAATAAGTTTGGACTTCAGCATCTTGAACCTGTATGTCCAAAGAGGACAGTTCAGATGATGCAGATCTAAAATGGGCCGCATACTCCTATTTTTTGCGGACCAGGAAATAATGGCTGTAAAAACCTCCATCCCTCAGGGAACGGGGTACATGTTCTATGGCCCCTTTGTCCAAGAGGGATCTTACTTCCTGTGCTAACGTCGGGCTCTGGTCTGTGCTAACTACTGTGGTGAGCACACCTCTGAACCGAGGGGGTTGGGCTATAAACTGGACCCGGTAACCATTTTCTACGGTAGACATAACCCATTGAGACATTTGGCTGTAGTTTCCATGCTGCCAGATGGTCTTTAATGATGTTAACTATTCCAAATTCTGTTGGGGGAAGGCATCAGATTTTCATTGCCCTGTGACAGCTTGCTGAACAGAGAACATTGAAAACTTGGTACCGCCTTGGCTAGGGGAGGCCCTACAGTAGCATTGAGGGATAACTGCCCTAACAACCTCATGTCCCCTGATACGTCCCTCCACGGCCCCTCAGGACTGCTCTTCTTTGCCTGCTTGGCCTTTATGACCATTCTCAAATCAGGCCTAGTAGCAGGCTACCCGGTTCCCCAGGCTGTCGCGAGGGTTGGCGGGCTGCCATACTCGCCTTCTGGGTCTCCCTCACACTAGTGCTGGCCCTGGTTCCACTTGTGGATGCCCGGGTGAACTCAAGACAACAGGGAAGAGACTGGCTGAATGCCGCCATATGTCAAGCTCACTCAGCAGAGCTGCAACACTGTCATTGTCTGCAGTGGCCCACAAGTCCACCAGTGCCACGGTTGCCTTACACGGTGGTTTGGACGGCAAAGCCGGCCCCCCTAATTACCTGCTGTCGATGGAGAGAGGTAGCTCTCAAGCCTTTCCTCCACTTTCAGCATAGCTAAATAGCCATACCGCTCATTCCCCACAATGGCAATATGCATCGTTTTTTATGCACTTCTGGAAGAAAGGGGAGTTTCTACAGTGTGAGGGATTTACTTTCACTGGGGAGAAAAAGGCTGATCCAGCCTTAGTAATCACTTCAAGCTCTTTATATGTTGCTCTCGATTTTTAGTACACCCTTCAATCTCCTTGGAGTCAGAGAGGAATTATTACTAGTATATTAGTATTGTATTGTATTGGGACGCACGGTGGCTTAGTGGTTAGCACGTTTGCCTCACATCTCCAGGGTCCTGGGTGTGTGTGCAGAGTTTGCATGTTCTCCCCGTGATGCAGGGGTTTCCTCCCCCAGTCCAAAGCCATGCATAATAGGCTGATCGGCATGTCTAAAGTGTTTGTAGTGTATGAATGGGTGTGTGAGTGTGTATGTGATTGTGCCCTGTGATAGATTGGCACCCTGTCCAGGGTGTACCCCGCCTTGTGCCTGATGCTCCCTGGTTAGATTCCAGGTTAGGCTGCAGGATAGGCTCCAGGTTCCCCGCTACCCTCAAAAGGAGTAAGCGGTAGAAAATGGATGGATGTATTGTATTGTATTGTAGTTGTTTTTGTTTTTTTACTTTTTGTCTTTCTATAGCGGAAGGAGGAGCTGCGAGCTCCAAAATCCTGCTGAGAGCCGAACCCAGAAAACAGAGCAAGAGATAGAGCAACGCTCGTCTCCGGCTCCTTTTCCGGATCCATAATAGATCCCCCGGACCGTAGACGGCTGGCTGCCTCGGCAGCGGCTGGCCCAACTCGCTTCAGCTTTCAAGAAGAGCGTGAGTCACGAGCTGAGCTGCCTGAAGAAGGTGTTACCATGCACAGACTCTCGAGGCTGCATACTACACTCCTAAACACTTCACCCAGAAAGTGTGCACTATTCCCCGTGATGAAACGGGAGCAAGCCGTAACAAACTTTCTGAATTCTCTCACTCATATTTTTATCTCCCGCTCATTCCTTTTTTTTTCTTCTCTTTCACTCTTTTTTTAAAGGGATAGAAAAGTTCTGAGATTTTGAGAAAAGATAGCAAGGAAATTAAGCGCCTTTTTTTTTCTTTACACAAACAACTGACATGCAGTCTGATGGCGCGGTTCACAGGTGCCATATTTATATGCGACTAATTGCCACGTCACCTGATCATGGCAGGAGTATAAATAGGCGTGATTTTACACAAGCTTCAGATGCCGGTTGCGTGCGAGAGGCGCTCCCCATAGTGTTATGCTAAATGCAACATCGAAGTTCTCTTTGAAAGGGAACTTTCGGGTTCCAGTACAAAATGGCACCACGCTAGACAGCCTTGCACACACTGCTGCTTATTTATATTGGGGGCGCCAACAAACCAGTTTGACCAATTAAAATTTTCTAAGGTAATAAAAGACATGAGGAAAGTTAAATGTAATTTGTTACTGTTTCGGATTCGGTAGGACGGTGTGGTGGCAGTGCCACAAATATGGTGATGCCCTAGGTGGCTGCCTATGACGCCTATTGGAAGGACTGGCCCTGTTTCTCGCCCTGCTGACAACAAGAAGCACGATTGTGTTGTTTC